GATACCCGGAGAGAAGTGCATTGGCAGAGGTGTGCAGGTGCTGGTGCTGTGGGAAGGTGAGCAGGGCTGACCACAGCTCTGGCTCATGGGGCAGTGGGGGCTGTCAAAGCCAGGGCTGAGGAGGTCCACACTGTCTATTCAATGTGTGGAGACCGCCTCCCCCAAGCTCAGGGAGGACACAGACGCCCTGGCCTCTGTGCTGCTTTTATGGCCATGTCGCTCTTCCTGGCCATCTCAGATGCCTTGGGAGCAGGAGGCCTGGACTTGTCTCCATGCGAGCCGTTTGAACGTGCGCTGACAGCTGACAGCATTTGCAGCCATTGTGACACCCGCCCTTCAGACGAAGGTTGGACACCCGGCAGACGGATCAGCTGCTGCCCCTCCGCATTCACCAATGCCCGTCGCGGTACCTCATGAGTTGTGCACAGCTGTGTCGTCGCTGCTTCTTCACCTCCAGTGAGAGTTTTAACAGTCTTCGAACACTCGTACTAATGGCCCAGTCAAGAGCTCGTTTAATTTTCTCCTTGGGACACAGCCTGTAATGAGCAGACGGTTTCTGAGTTAGGAGACTTCCTGTGGTTGGAGTGCTTGTAAAAACCTGCCATCGGTCCAGACTTTTGCTCTGAAGGGTTTGGCGAGCACCCCGTGCTGGGGATGGTGTCATCGCTTTGGAGAGCAAAAACTGTCAAGATCTAGTGAATGTGGAGAGCTGGCTCCTTCCCATTGCCAGCTCAGCGCTCCAGGGCTCTTCCAGCCACCTGGGCGCAGCCTTCCTTTTTTTTCCTTTTTTTTCTTTTTTTTTCCTTCCCCCCCCCCCCCTTTTTTTTTCCTGGAATCCTGTACAACATGAGCAGAAGAGGGATCCTGGGAAGGGGGGTTTTGCTGCTGTTCAGAGAAGGTGCCTTGTTTTCTGACAGATCTTGTGTTGGCAAGAGCCTGGATGAAATTTCGTTTTGCAGCTTCTCTGCTTAGGCTGTTGGCAAGAGTCATGTGAGATGGAGAAGTCCCTGACCAATGTTTTACCCCTGCCTCGGTAGCACTCAGAGGTGCAGCCCAGAGCAGTCAGAGTACAGATCTGACCTGCTATACCTCTGCTCACTCCCTGCACTGCTACGGACTTGCTTTTTGTTCACCCTGAAGAGCACCCTGCAGAGCCAGCCCGATCCTCCCAGGCTGTGACCTGCCCCTGCCCCACACTTCCCTGGGAATGCATTTTCCACGCTCCCCTAAGCAGCGCCAGCGCAAGCTGTGTGCATTTCTAGCAGTTTCAGGTCAGCCTGAACCACCCTCGGTTTGTTTACGTCCCTCGCGAGAAAGGTTCTGGTTGATGCATGTGTTACTCTTGAAAACAAACGCCTCCACGTTGCTTTTACTAAATATAGGACAAGTGTCTGCGGTGCACAGTGCTTGCAAACAGACCGCGGCGGGGTCATACTCTTAAATAGAACAGGAGTTTATCAGCCCCAGCGAGGAGAGGGACTTGAGTTTAATACTCTTGCTTGCAAATTCACGATACAGTGAGCATAGTTTTAAAGGGTTCAGTCTAATTCCCTTGCATTTCCCAATGTCTAAGCCTGGAAATGGGAAATGGGAGTCCCCTGGGGCAAGTGTCTCAGCCCAGTGCTGTGTACGTTAGATCTTCCTCCTATCTCTCATTAGCACAGATGCCATTGCACCCTCCTGTGGGGTAACGGATACAGGGGATTGAGAAAGAAACTGTACCTTATGTTGAGTCAGGACTTGATCAATCCAGTGCTGCAGGAAGTGTCATTATTTCCCATGAACACGCAAGCGTATATTCACTGGTGATGAAATCTTGTGAAGTCAGTCATTCGTTTTCCCTTAATTATAGCTTGAAGAAAGACTTATGTTTAGTGCAGACCCTGGTGACTTTGTACTTTGGAGCAGTTTTCATTTAAGCAAAATACTGTAAGCACACTAAAAAGAAGACAGGGTTGGATTTTTCCTTCTGGTTATTTTGGTTCAAAAATTTAAAAAAAAAAATCCATCTGGGGCTTGTGTAACAGATTTGTTTTTGCTTCGTGGTGCTCAGCAAATGAGAAAGTTCAGACCCCCAAATTGTGATGCAAAAACTCTCTGTGTTACAAACCTTCGCATTAACAGAAATCATTGGTGAGATGTTTTACCCTCCACTAGTACATCCCCCTGAGATTTTAGAAGGTCCTTGCAGGACCGGAAACTGAAGACAGAGGATTGGAAGGACCTCCCAGGTCACTGTATCTTTCAAGCAACTGTGTCCTATCATCCCTTTCAGCAAATACATCCTCTTCCACTTTAAAATTCACAATGTAATTTACCCCCTATTTTTTCTGCAAAAAACAGTCCCAGACCCTCACACCCTTGACAGTTAGAAACCTTCTTCTCATGTCTAGCCTAGGCTGTTTTCAGCTCCCTTCCTGCCGTACGAGACTACTGAACTGTCGTATCGTCTGCCGACGAGACACAGATATGAAAAGCAGCTGGTGGGTGAGAGACCGGATAGCTGCTAGGAGGTATTTGTGCAAGGGAGGGCCTACACCTCTCCCCCATGACTTGCTCTGTGCGTTAAGTTCGGGATAGCCAGGCCACGTGGTTTGATTCTTTCTGTCCGGGCAGTGCTGGGTAACGGGTCCCTGGCAGTTTGGGGCTGAGGGATTGCAATCGAAGCGGACACTTTCCCTTTTCTTTGCTTCCTCTGCCAGTAAAACCTGGGGTGGAGGCTGGGATCTGAAGCAACGTTGAGCAGCAACTGAGCTGTGGTGGCCCGTTGGCTAGGGTGTCAGCAGGGGCTGAGCACCCGTCGTGGTGATGCTGCTCGGGAAGCAGGATTTACTTCTAAGTTAGAGCTGGCTTTTGCAGAGAGAGTTGCTGGCTGGGCACAGAGACACAGGGGCTCTCAGGACACCTTGCTTCCATCCTCCTTTGTCTTTCCATCTTCCCAGCTCCCTCTTTCCTCCTCCTTGGCTCTCAACGCTGTCTCTTAATCCTCCTTGCTGTAGATGGTGCCAGTTTTGAATTTAGAGCCCTAATTTAGGGCTCTAACTGTTTCGCTAACTTGTTCCTCCCTTTGCTATCCCCAGCTCACCTTCCTAGTTCACCTTCTTTTCCCCAGCTTGAGTAGGAAAAAATTGCAAACAGCAGGTCACCCCGACCCACTGAGAGGTAACACCGTTGCCCTCCCCAGGCTCTGCCCTGGGCCAAGAGCTCCCAGCAGTGGACGCCCTGATCTGATCCCTGGTGTCTCAGAGTTAGGAGCCGTTGCGGTAGTGGACAACTCTTTAATGAGTTCATGGTGTGTTCATTAACTTTCTGCCTTTGGGCTCTAAATTAACCTCAACTGAGGTAAGCCACATATCACTTACATCTGTGGCTTCAGGCTCTCAGCAGATTCAAGCAGGCAGGAGGTCCAATTTGGATCACTTTCTTCATAGCCGGGAAAGTGGTTGCATGCCTACAAAATTTATGAGCACGAGAACCTGCGCGTCTGTCACTGACTCGGTGACTGGCATAGGATTCAAGGCAGGCCAGATCCAGCCTCGCATTTGCTGTTGCTGCAGACAAGCCTCCAACATCGAATCAGCAGCTCTGCGTGGCAGAGCAGGGGAGGGAGCTGCTGAGATGGCTGTCTTCAGCCTCAAACACTCAAGGGAATATTGCTGTGTGGAAGGAAAAAAATAAAATAGCAAATAAATCTTAAAAGGACTTCTTATCACAGTTAGGCGAAGCATCTGAACAATTTGTCTGCTAATTACCATGTGAGCCTGAAAATGCAAACTCTGAGCCTCTTGGGGCTCAGCACAGAGCTGCCGGTGTTGGACCTGCCCCGACCTCCACCAAGCACAGCTGCCGTCTCCTTGTCCTGCGAGGTAGCTGAGCCGGGTCCTCTTGCCTCCTGGTCGGTAATTCCCTCGCTGGTGCAGCCAGCAGGCAGTGGCATTTCCTGGCTACACATGGATCAAATTATTAATAGTTGCTCCTGAAACTGTAACAAGCAATTGTCTTTATTTATGGCCTTCTGTTCGTTTGAAGGACAAGCCCGGACCTGCTGAA